TGGAAAAGCAAGCTGTCTCTGCACTTTCTTCTGTCCGGCACAGTTGTTGGTCCATCTCCGAGAGGGGTATTAGGATGCCTGTGCAGAAATCAGAATGTTCTAGAAATAGAAAGCTTCAGAAACCTAGCAGACAGATTTCTCACCATGAGAAAAACAAGCGTACCACACTTGTCTTCCTTTTTTAACCGACACTAACAGAGTCCTCGATTCTGTTTCTCCTTTACATGGGCTACTCTAGACTCAAACCTCTAGGGCTTTGTAACCCATGTCAATCTCATTTATTGATAATTCTTTATTTTGACATTTGTCTCCAAATCATTGCTATTGTCTTCTACCGGTCAGGGGGTTATTTTGCCCTTCACATTCTCCGTAATCATATTTAATGACACAGATATTCAAGCTGACGAATCATTTGACATGTTGGCCTCATAGTTATTGGCCTCCTTGACATGACTGGTTGCCCTTTTGCACATCAATGACAGACATGGGTCCACTTCCTTTTCACAGCTACGAGGTACACAGTGACTTTGTCAGTCCCTTTATCCACCAAAGGACCAAAGACGATCTGGAATTCCTATCCGTCAATAATTGTACCCCTGTGAAAATAGCCTGGATGTGTGGGGCATTTAATATGTGCCACACACTACTACAAGAACTATACATTTATTTATAATCTTTTGATTCTTCTAAAAACCCTCGGAGCTACCTAGGGACTGTCATTATTTCACTCTACAAGGATAGGAGGCTAAGTGACTTTCCCAAGGTCACACGGTGAGAGGAGGAGTCACCATTCCCACCCAGGCATTTGACTCCAGTGGCCCCTAACTACCTTGGCCGCCATGACCACCGCATGTCGGCACAGGAGCAAATGGATCCATACAGACCAAGTGCGAGAAAAGCTGCCGTGCCGTATGAGAAGAGCTATCATAACGTTAGCTTCTGTCATTGTTGTTACTATTATTTACTACTGACTTGAGGAATAATTGAACTTGCACTTTATTCTTGTTCAGATCTCCAGTCTCTGAAGTCCTCTACCCTCATCAAGGACTATCTCATTCCAGACAAAAGGGAGTCTACCCAGGTTGGACTTCATAAATTGTGACTTTGTGCTGTCTCTAGTCTCCTCTGAAGTCCCTCCGTTCCCACTGACCCTACTTCCACCAGGCCAGTCCCATGACTCCACCTAAGCCCTGCTCCTCTATTACAGAGTGGAAGAGCAGACAAGACTGTGGTACAGAATGAGTTCTCCCAGGACTAACAGACATGGTCTGATTGTAGCTACCAGGAATTTTTTTTTAAAATGACTTTATTGCATCTCTAATTTGGGGAAAAAATATTAATTTGATCATTTTACCTCTTTTAACTACCATTCTATTTATTATTTTATCTCTTTATTGCCCAAACTCCTTTATCTTCTCTCTTCCTCAGTGCACACTCATGTGTTTGAGTCCTTTCATTTCCATTAATGGTACCATCCTTGTTTCAATTTCTTGGACCAGAGGTCATAATGTTCCCCCTTCCTTCATGCATATTAGATTTAATTTTTTTCATCGTTTGTCTCTTCCTCTCCCTAGCCAACATGTGGCTTTTAGTTTACACTTGCCTTGCTATAACAGCTTGCTAGTTGAGCTCTATGGCTCTAATTTGTACTCATTTACTTCATAGCTTTATTTGGAATTTTCTTCCTGAATAATGGTATTACACATTGCAATGGCTCCTTGTTTTTTTTTTTTTTTTTTTTTTTTTTTTTACTATGTCAAATATGAAATGCATTACTTAGTTTTATAGTCCTCCCTCTTACAGGGAGGACCCTTATATCCTCACCCTCTTCCTTTACATTCCTAGTTAATGTGAACCTTCTGATTCTAGTCAGGCTAGCCATTATCACTCTTGATGAAAATGTCTATGTGATAGTGTTCCTGAAATATCTTTCTCTTTTATTTCCTCCCCAAATCCTATCTATTTTTTAAGATCCAGTAGTCTCATTTCTTCTAAAAATAGTACAGATAGACTACACTGGTCTTAACCAACTTCCTTCTTTGTGGAATGCATGCTATTAAAAACTGAAGACTCACTAGATACTTTTCTTGCATTGATTGCCATAATTTTATGAGACTGTGACAATCCCTTAATGGCAGGAACCACATTTTACACTCTCTGCCTAGCAAGTGCTAGAGCCCAGTAATTACTTAATATCCATCTGCCTATAGGATAATTTTACTGTATTGTTTTATAAATACCAATCTTAAGTATAGCTAAATAAAAGTATCTATTGCAGTCTCCATATATTGACTGCACCAGGCCTCATCTAGGAAATGTCTCAACGTAACCCAGGTGTTCCAGATGTGTTTTCTCTAATGGATATCGGTACTTCAGACATTTTTATTCTATTTGATGTTCCTCTTACTGTCTACTTTGAAAATAATAGCTCAATATATACTTGAAATCACCATTTTCTTTACCCATGTAGGAGAAGTAGGCATAAGTGGTTGACTTGTCCCCAAAATATTTCACCGGCATGGCAAAAAAACCTGTAGTACTCCCCCAAGATGGTAGTTTCTCCCTCAACAATGACAGACTCAAATAATGAATCAATTGACCAACAGATGGTATAGTGGTTAAAGCACTGGACGCCCATGTAGTCAACCATGGTTCGAGTCCCAGACCTGACAGCTTAAAACTCATGCTGGGTGTGTGTACGTGCATACCCAAAATCCTGAGAGGAGAATGAAGGAAAAGGGATTGTGGTGTGACCATCTCCCCTGGGGGATGATTTATTATTTTTCTGTCTCTCTGTCTCTTTCTGTCTCTCTGATGAGAGCATGTGCCCTATAGCAAAAATCTCTCTTAAAAAAAAAATTAAAAATCAAGGGTCAATGTCCTACTCAAGGACTATCTTACTTCAAAGTAATTTTCTCAAAAGGTGTTCCAGAACTTCAGTTCCTAATTTTGCTGCACATGAGCACTTGTTCTCTATTTGATGTATTGCTCTTATTTCAGTGCCGCCTTTTATTTTTTGATTTCCTTTCCATATTCATTTGACCATCATCACCTGGTGATGTCTAGATACAGTACACCTTCTCTGAAGTCAGTACTTTATATGGAAATGTTTGTGTTACTCTTCTTCCAAAAGCTCGCTGGGAAACTCCTACTTTATGTATCACTCATTTTTAAAATTTTAAAAAAGAATTATTTAATTTTATTTTATTCATTTATTTTATTATTTTTAAATTTGACCAGAGTGAGACATGGAGAGATGGGGAAAGAGAGAGAGAGGGAAAGTGAGAAAGCAAGCCACCAGGTCTGGGACTCAAACCATGGTTGTCCATGTGGGAGTGCCCAGCCCCTTAACTATCACACCATCTGCTGGTCCCCTAAGTAGCACTCATTGACCAATAAGGAAAGAAAAAAGAAAAGAAACATCCCTAGAAAATTCTTAAGTTTCCTCTATTCAGACCACAGCAATGTAGGAAGAAACAAAAATCTCTGAAACTGCTTTACATTTTTTTTAAGGTTATTATTGCTCGAAGTTTGCTTCATGGTGAATGTGAAAGCAAGATTCTGCAGTCTGTGATATTTTCCCAGGAATTTTTTTTTTTTTTTAAGAGAAGATGACGTTTCTCCAGATGTTTTCCCGGGAAATTATTTTTAAATAAACAAAGGAAAAAAATAGCAGAGTGTTTTTTCACTCTAAAGTGGAGCCATATAGCATCTGAGAGCAATGCACACAGTAGTGATCCCTATACTGAGACGTGCTCAGTTCCGAGTAGGGAAGGAAGGGAGCGCGTGCAGAGTCCGATTCTAGGGCCTGCTGACGATAGAAAGCCACGTGTCATGGTTCGAGTCTGCCCTTTATGTCTTTTCAGGCTGATATTCCTTTTACAGTTATCCTCCCTGCCCACTGAGGCTCAGGATCACAATTGTATGACAAAGCACAGAGGACAGAGGACATGTCACCCAGTCAGATCTCCAAACCATTAGATTTTCAAGAGGAAACAGATTCTGACACTCAGGCAAGGTCTTGCTATATTTTCCCATCACAGGTCAACAGAGGACATGCTTGCTATATCACCACAATTCTTCTTGCATAAAGTTTTCCATTTCTTTAGATAAAGGGAATGTGATTAGAGAGCTTTCTGAAATTCCCTTAAGATACCAGCTATCTGGAATTTCCTTAAGAGATTTACGCATTAGTTGAATCACATGCAGTCTTTTAAAAATGCTCAGTAGGAAGAGACTTCACTGTTAAAATGTAGATTTTTCAACCAAACAACTGTAAGAAAATTAAAAATGTCACAGTGATCCAAAATTTGATGAGAAATGAGATCACCTTTATCACCTTTGTAATCTCAAATGTCATTTAAGTACAGTCCTTCAGGGAGCCTGAAACGCTTGTCCAAAGGGTTATAGTATCGTATTCTCAAAATCAGCCAACAAGCTGCCTTTTGCTGATGGAACAAACATCTCTAGCGTTGGGGCCAGCATGTGGCATGGAGGTTGAGGCAGATGGATTCCACATGGTCAACTGCACGGTTTCAAGTCCCAGACCCAGTGGCTTGAAAAACATGCTGGGCTTATAAGTGTGTGTACCCAAAAATCCCAAAAGGAGATGGAAGAGAAGGGATTGCAGCATTGCCATCTCCCTTGGAGGATGATTTCTCACTTTCTCTCTTTCTGTTTCTCTCTAGAGAAAGCACATGCCCTATCACAAACTTAAAACAAAACAAAAAATCAATCTCTCTAGCATCTGCTCCAAAGATTTAATATTTAAATATGTACTGGGCATTCTGCTGGGAATTGATATGTCTTAATGTCTTAAAACTTGCATCGACCTTATGAGATGGGTATGTTCTTATCTCCATTTTATACATCAGGAAATTAAGGTGTAGAGAAATTCGCTGTCTCTTGCCCAAGGCTGCTGAGGAAGGGACTGTGTGGCAGATCTAGCACTTGAATCCCAGTGAAGGCTTTAGCTCCTGAGTGCTGGGTTATGTCATGCTCCACCAAGACAGAAAGCCTCCTAGTATAGGGCGTGAAGTACCTAAGACCCAGTTAAATACTTTTCAAACATTATTCTTTTGGTTCTGGGTGAAATTCTACCTTTTCTCAACTAGTCTGAACACTTTTCTAACATAGCTCTTCAAATGAGTGTAGTAAGCTGAAATAGAACTTCTAGAAATTATCTAATTAAATAAGATTCTTCACATAAACATCTTTTAACTTTAGGGCTAGAATATCACTAGCATAATCTTGGACTTGCATTCTTTTTTCCATTTCCCTTAAAGATAATGACAGCCTATCATTAAAATTTTGATCAATTGAAATTTTATAACATTAAATTTTGCTATTGCCTTTTCTTCTTCTTCCTCCTCTTCCTCTTCTTCTCCTTCTTCTTTTCTTCTTTTAGAGAGACATTTGCTATTGGGTGTGTGTGCTTGCCAGAGACAAAGAGACAGAAAGCAAGAAATCACCTCCCAGAGGGGATGGCCACATTACAATGTCTTCTCTTCCATTCTCTAAGGGTTTTGGGCACACACACACATACACACCAGGCATGAGTTTCAAGCCACTGGGTCCAGGACTCGAATTGCAGTCGACTACCCAGGGGTCCAGCAATGTAACCATTATGCCATCCGCTGATCACAAATTTTACAGCAATACTGCTCTATGATTGAAAAGAAACATTCTCTTGCTTCACTGGATAACCCTCTTACCTCTGGATGTAGGAATTATTCACTCCGCGGTGATCCAGATCGTGGCTGAGCGCAGCAATCAGCAAGGCAAGTATCTCCAGGTCAGTCAGCTGATTCTGCACAGCCGGAAACAATGGAGGAGAGAAAGAGAGACACATTTTGGAAAAAGGCATTACACTACTTAATTTTAGTAATCTTTCCCCTCACTAAATGCTTTACATATGTGCTTCTTTACAATCACAAAGAATTCACCCCAGAATCCTATTTTGCAGGAATCATTGTATTTTGTTGTTGTTGTTGTTGTTGTTTTAATAATTATTTATTTTATTTATTCATTCATTTATTTGTTTATTTGCCCAGAGAGAGACAGAGGTTGAGAGTGAGAGAGAGAGAAAGTGAGAAAGCAAGCCACCAGATTCAGGACTCGAACCGTGGTCGGCCATGTGGGAGAGTCCAGCACCTTAACCACCACGCCACCTGCTGGTTCCCGAAATTGTTGTATTTTGTCTTTCAGAACGGGAGAACTACCAATGCCATTTATCAACAGAAAAAAATATGAAATGCCTCAAGAAATTAATAATCTACCCACCTACAGTAAATGTCACTAATTCTTCTTTTGTGTTTGCTAGGGCATAGATGTTCTCAACAGAGAGACAAAAAGACAGAGACAGAGAGAGAGAAGAACCCCCACCCCCATGGGAAATGGTCACACCACAATCCCTTCTCCATCTCTCCTTCCTTTTGAGCATTTGGACATGCACATACATGTGCCCAGCATTTTTCTCAAACCACCAAGTCTGGGATTCAAACCTCATAGTCAGTCCTGTGGGGATCTGACTCCCTTAAGTACAGGCTAGGGGCTGGCCCAGTTTGCCCTGTTTCTTAAACATGTTTGCTATGGCAGGAAAATACTACCATGGTATTTCATATGACTTCTTGGACTTGGACAATGCCTTTTTTTTTTTTTTTTTAAGATGTAGCCAGTTTAAATGTGTAAGCTCTGAAAGTGGAGACAATGAAAAACAAATTTAGAATTTATTATTATTTTTTAAAAGAGCAGGGAAGCTCTGAGATTGAACAATAATATGATAGATGCCTGGAATCACGTACCTAGAATAATTAGTGGATTCCCGCTGAAGTTAGACTCTAAGGACAGAGATATGGATAAAATGTAGCCTGCAGGAGAATGAATTACTTGATATTCTCTGGTCAATGTATCTGAAACTAAAATCTTTGCTACAAAATAGTACTTGTAACATTAATTGAGTGCATCAGAGAAAATGTGATAGAGAACCCTGAACTTATCAGAAAGACAAGAACTTGGGTGGTTTTTGAGAAATTCTATTTTGAAGCCGGTTTTCAATGTGAGCATGAGAAATGTAATACTTTTTCTTAATAGTGCAGTGCTTTTCTCTGAAGAAAATATTTATTTGCCCAAAGACCAAGTATAATATGAAATTGAAGATTTTAAAAAATATATCATATATTGTATATATGGACGAAAATGAGCAGTTAAACATTTTGTCACACTAGTCCTTTTTCACAGAATGTAACTTATTATGCAAGTGGCAATAAATATGACTTTTAATTATTGACACACAGGAAAAACTTAAAAAGAGGGCCAGCAGGTGGCAAGGTGGTTAAGGTGCTAGATCCCACATGGCCGACTCCGTGGTTTGAATCCCAGACCTGGAGGCTTGAAAAACACATCAGGTGCATGTGGGTGTGTGCCCAAACACTGGGAGGAGAATACAGAGGGTATTACAGCATGACCATCCTCCTTGGGGGGGTGATTTTTCACTTTCTGTCCCTGTCTCTGGTGAGCGCATGTGCCCTATAGCAAAAAGTTTTTTAAAAACCCCGAAACTTGAAAAGAGTATGCTGTAATTTTACTACTAACCTTTCTTAAATACATGAATGGCTCTGAAAAGTACCTGAATTTTGCCTGCTTTTAATGCAGCAAACATGCACTGGGCTGTATTAAAGGCGTGTCTCCAATTATGATAGGCCACGTTCTTCCGATAATTCTTCTTAACACTTAGAATCCATCTGCAAAGGACCTTGAGGAAACAAAGCACAAGGAGGAACAGCAATTGCTAACGCTGATCATAGTGCATGACCACATCCTGCGTGCTGTACAAAGCACTCCCACAGAACCCTCACAGCCACGAGGGAGGCACTACTATTGTGACCAGTTTTCAGAGGAGAAAACTGCCACTCTGACAGGGTACTTGCTGAAGGTTGTGTTGTTCCAAGTTCAAAGTTGAGCACTTTGACCCCACGGCCCACCATGTTGACAACCACGCTAAATAAACTAGATGTAAAATAGCAGACATCTCTAAGAAAAGTACTCTGGCGTGGGTAAGACAACAACCAGCATGTTAGAAGACACTAAGTCTCTGGGATCAGCAGATGGCATAATGGTTGAACCGTTGGAATCCACATAGTCAAACGCAGTTCGAATCCCGGACCCAGCAGCTTAAAACTCATGCCGGGCACATATGCATGCGTGCCCAAAATCCCAAGAGGAGAACAGAGGAGAAGGAATTGTGGTGTGGCCATCCCCTCTGGGGGGTGATTTCTTGCTTTCTGTCTCTCATTTCTCCAGTGAGCATACATGCCGTATAACAAAAACCTCTCTACAAAAAAAAAAACAAAAAAAAAAACGGATTCACCGCCGAAAAAAAAAAACCCCCTCAAAAAAAAAAAAAAAAAAAAAAAAAAAAAGATATTAAATCCCTGTGTCATCAATTAAGCCACATATGTGTGAACTCACATTCAGAGACATTAAAGCAGGCACTCTTGAGCCTTTCCCCTGCACACAGGCTGTGAAGGCTCAGGACGTGGACAGGGCACATGGTCTCTAGCACATTTCTCAGGACAAGTCAGAGCCGCAAACCTTAATGTCCTCATTAGACCTTTGTCTTTTTGTTTTTGGAGAGATTTTTGCTCTGGGACATGTGTGCTCACCAGATAGAGAGAGATGAAGAGAGAGAAAGTGATAAATCACCCCTTGTGGGGATGGCCACACGGCAATCCCTTCTTCTCCATTCTCCTCTTAGGATTTTGAGCATGTATGTGCATGCGCCCAGTGTGAGGTTCAAGCTGCTGGGTCTGGGACTCGAACCACAGTTGACCACATGGAAGTCCAGCGCCTTAGCCATTATGCATTCTGCTGGCTTCTGATCTTTGTCCTTTTAAGCTATGCTCAAATATTCAGGCAGAGTTACTACTTGTTATCAAGAGATAATTTTTTAAAAATTATTTTATTCAACTTTATTTATTATTATTATTATTATTTTCCAATTTGACCAGAAAGAGACATACACAGAGAGAGAGGAAAAATGAGAAAGCAAGCCACCAGGTCTGGGACTCAAACTGTGTCAGCTATGTGGGAATCCAGTCCTGTCCTGTTAACTACCATGCCATCTACTGGCCCCTTGAGAGGTAATTTTTTTTTTTTTTTTACCTGGTATATGATATATGCAAAATAAAGTCCTGGGGTCTCTATGGGGAAAATATACTTTAAAAGATGGAGAGATAGGGGAGATAGACTCTTCGGCAAATCTCCCTGGTGCATTTAATTCAGCTTCTAAGTGGTGTATTAAACAAAATCCTCAGGGACTCAGGGGCCCTAAGCACAGTTATTCTGTTGGTGTCAACATTAAGGGTCTGCCTCTCTTCAAACCTGAATGACTAACTATACTTTTAGGGATCTGTAAAAATAAATATGTGCTTCTCCCTACATAGATCATTCAGGATGCTTCAACCCCCAAGGGCATTGCCCTGGAGAATGGAAAAAGAACCAGGGAAAGAATGCTGCATTAACAATATTCAACACACTGACTGGCTACTGGCTACGGAAGTGGCCCAAAGCAAGGTCTCTTCTTGCTGGTAGAAATGGTTATTGAGGATTTGGTAGGAAATCCATGCTTTCAGAGGCTCCTTTTGCAGGTCTTCTGGTTCCTATTCTATAGCTCAGTTCCCAAGGAATTCTAATAACAAAGAACCCAAATTTCTCTTAGTCCTTTGACTCCCTGAGTTTCCTCATTTCGAGCAGAAGATTTCTGTGTGCCTGAGACTCCCACAGGTCCATCCCACATGGCTTCTTTTATCATGACTATTTCTGAAGAAAGTCTTTCTGGAAGATGCTGGATTACCATTACCAGGAGATGTAAAGAGTCATAAGCTTTCTTGGATAGGTTTAGAAACTACACAATGACATGTTGTAGAAAATTACTGGTGATTAATTAAAGAAGCAAGGAATATAATTAGGAAAAAACAGAAATATAACCGATGGATGAATGTGTTCACCAAGCATACATTTTAGACAAAATTATATATGTACGTATGCCACATAATATGACACAATGGCCAAAATGACTGTATGAAACGTAATTCCTGATGGATTATTCTATTGTACGTCTATTAAGATGGGTCTATGTGAACTGGGTAATCCAGTGGATACAGAAGATACTAACAAGATTGAAGAACAGTTTCAGATTCTGTCACCAGGATGTTCTTGACAGCATGTGGGAAAATTACAGTCCTGTGTGGTGCTCTTGGTGGGTATACAAATCTGTAATACAACACTTACAGGACCAGTGAGTAATTATCTGCAGTTTGGATGACTCTAGTGAGCACATTTAAAATGCAGAATCAGTCTCCAAAAATTGTGGAAGGGTTCCTGAGTCCTGAGGGGTATACTCAAGAGGTCATGGGTGGAAGAGAAGAAACAGAAACAGATGTGCTCCTGCCTTCAAGGAACTCATCAGTGAAAATGCCAAAAGTATATATAAAAAGTAAAGGGATACATAAGCAAACATAAAGCCAAGAGCACAAATTCTTTTCTTATCTTTCTAAACATGTATCTATTTATCTATCCATCCATTATGATTTTCAAGCTGGGATTTGAACCGCGGTCATCCCTGTGGGAAGCCAGGGCCTTAACCACCATGACACCTGCTGGCCCCCAAGAGCACATGTTCTTAAGCTATTGAGCAGCAAACCATGTGGCATGAAGTCAATCCTGGAGTTCTCTCAGAAACAGATTTTTGTGTCAGGCTCTGAGAAAGAGAGAAGTATGTTGTGGCATGACTTGGTGGGGGGGTGACATGTAAAAGACAGGAGGAGAAACGCAGCATAGCACGTGCAGGTTGCAGATTTGTTCAAGCGGTGCCGAAAACCTGGTCTCAGAGATCAGGAAGACTTGAAGATGATGATCCTTACAGTGCAGTAACTCTGGATTTGGAAGCCAGGCAGACATATGGGAACATTTATTTCAATAGGAAATAGTCTGTCAGGGCTAACATCCTTCCTAGTAATAATTTTTTTATCCTCTTAAATTATATTGACAATAATATCTGAAACAAACAAGAGGTATTAAGTCAGGAAGGACAACTAGAAAGATTAAAAAGTCCAAACTGGAACCAGCAGATGGCATAATGGTTACTTCACTAGACTCCCACATGGCCAACTGTGGTTTGAGTCCTGGACCTGGTGACTTGAAACACACTGGGCACATGTGCGTGCATGCCCAAAATCCCAAGAGGAGAATGGAGGAGAAGGGATTGCAGTATGGCCAACCTCCCTGGGGAGTGACTTCTTACTTTCTGTCTCTCTGGTGAGCACCCACGCCCTATAGCAAAAATCTCTCTTAAAAAAAAAAAAAATGTTCAAACTGATGTTAGCCAGAATTAGAATAGCATGAATTGAGTGTCCCTAATCTAAAAAGCCAAAATCCTGGTGCTGGTGGGTGGCATGGTGGTTAAGGGTGCTGGACACCCACCTGGCTGACTGCGGCTTGAGTGCTGGACCTGGCTTTCTCACTTTCTCTCTCTCTCTCTCTCTCACTCACTTTGTCCCTCTCTGGTCAAATTAAAGTAAATAAATAAATAAAGTTAAATAAAAATAATTATTTTTTAAAAAAACCCTAAATCCCAAGTGCTTCAAAATCTGAAACTTTTTAAGTATGATGTGATGACACAAGAAGAGAAAAGTATCTCTGACTTCATGTGATGGTCATGGTCAAAATGTTGCAGTACCAAAATACCGTATAAATCACCTTTGGGCTATGTGTAGAAGGTGTATATAAAACATAAATAAATTTTAGTTTAGACTTGGTAATTATCCCTAAGACCTCTCATTATGCATATGCAAATTTCTCCACATCAGAAAAATATCTGAAATCTGAAACACTTCAGGTTCCAAGTATTTTGGATACGATACTCAATCACTACCTATTCGTAGAGAAAAAGAAGATAGATGAATTTAACATGGAGAAGAAATATTTCCATAATGGGTAAAAGTCCAAGAAAAGGCAAGAAGAAAGATTGCTAGAGAATTTTGGAGTGACTGTCATTATTCAACCCTCAATTGCTATCTAAATGCCAAATATGAAATAAATCAACTTAAAAGAATTACATGAAAAGGTCCTAGAATCACGTTTCTCTGTTCTGAACAATCAACAGAGCCATCACTAGTTTCAAGTACAGGTGTTCTTAGCAAGGGGAAGGCCTCTGAGATGCTCTCTAGGATGATAAGGTCCTATCACCAGTAAGAAGAAGCAGAACTATGATAACTGACTTGCACTGTACACCTGTGTGTTAAGAATACCATACACAAATACATAAGTGTGTGCACAAAAAGGGTAACCACATAGGTGTGTATGTGTGTGTGTGTGTGTGTGTGATTCTCACAAGACTCCCATGGGGAACATAATACCATTACCCTAATCAACAGATGTGGAAACTGAGAATCAAGAGACTAAGTGCCCAAGGGAATAAGGGCTGATCGGTCTATCCTACCATGCTATCTCAACATCTTTATTTATAAAATAAGGAGAATAATAACTAAAGCATCTTTTTTAGGAGCTTGTTGAACTAATTTAAAATGAAATGATATCCCTTAATCAACACACTCTGCCAAGAGTAAGGCATTATTAGAGAAAAATCTATAGACTTTTTTTCACTCAAGGAAGAGTACTATAGATAAACTTTGGTTAAATTCACAAAAGAACTACAGTCCCAGTAATACCATGAATGACACTGTATTAACCGTTTATCTATATTTCATTTTCTTTCCTAACTATGGTACGAAGCCTCAGAGAACAGGGACGATCCACCACCTGGACGGGGCTGGGGGCGCTAATACGTTTTTATCATATGAATTACTGGTTGCTACATGTGGAGGTTTTCAAGATGTTTGTTTCTAGATAAGTAAACTGTACACAGAGACTGGACATTTCACTGGCCAGAAAAAAAAATATCTTTAAAGGCAAGAGTACCAAATTTCTTTTCAAACATTCCTTTCAGTTCTCTCTTACTCTTTGATGCTATACCCATCATCCATTCTGTTCTGTTTTTAAGTCATTTCTGAAGGCATTGACTCAAGTCTGGCCATTTTCTGAGAGACGAATGAGGGAACCAACAGGGTTAACATCAGTTTTCGTCTTTAGGCCAGGGCTGACCCAGTTCCAGCTAAGAGCTTGGCCTCACCTCAAGCTCCTCACTGCCAAAGGAGTTCACTCTGGTTGGGGCCTTCCCTGCACACTGTTATCATAACCTTTGCAGCTGCTTCACGTTACTTCCCTGCTTGAAATTCCTTAGTGAATCACCATTGTTTTCAGGATCAAACCCAGATTCCTCCCAAAGGCATACAGGGTTCTATATGTTTCACTTAACTTCTTTTCCAGCTGCTTCTCTTGCGACTCACCCCTCAACAGTTGTCCCCCACCCCTGCCCCCATCTCTCCCACCATCTCACCTCTGCACAGCCAGCTCTCACTCTTAGGAATACTCTCTGTCATTCTATAACCTGTGCTTGACACATAGTAGGGCCCAATAAACGTCTTTATAATGATAATTTTTTTTAAACTCGTGCATGCATTAGGTAACAGTATTACTAATTGCTGAAAGTTTAAAAACACTTTTTCCACATTAGCATTTCAAACTAATTTCCTCTCTCTCTCTCTCTCTCTCTCTCTCTCTCTCTCTCTCTCTCTCACACACACACACACACACACACACACACACACACTTTTTCAAAGAATGTCATCGCCTCCCCACCTCATGTTTCATCTGGAAGTTCTGCACCAGGTTGAGGTCGGTGAACATCCGGATTGTACACAGTGCTGTTTCCAGGTCGGATAGCTCAAAGTCACTGAAGCTGAAATCAGTGATTTTCAGGGTCTGGGCAGATGGTACCACAGCAGCCTTAGGGAGGGAGACAGGAAGAAAATGGAGTCAAACTGTTAATTAAAGCAGCAGCGATTCACAACGTTGTCTCGCTTTGCTATGGGGAAACAGCAGCTGTGTGTTTTCTTTTGAATGTAATCCACTCGAAATCTTTTAGTACAGGAGTGACTCTTACTTTCAAACCAAGTCACATGAGGGTGACGGCTGTGGTTCTGGCTAGGCTGGCCAGAGGACTGTCACCCAGAGATTGATTCCAGAACAGTAAGCAACACTAAGGACCCCAAGAGCCTGACTCCTTTATACCCCTCCAGTCTTATCGATTCCATAGGGGTCTATTAATTTTTCTGGAACTGTCCCAGTGCTGTAGTATGATCAAATGCTGAGCAGGATGATGATGATGATGTCATAAGCCTTTGTTGTTGTCATTGTTGTAAGTTTTGCTATAGGGTGTGTGTGCTGGACAGAGAGACAGACAGAAAGAGATGGTCACACAGCAACCCCATCTTCTCTATTGTCATCTTGGGTTGGGGGCATGCATACACATGCACTCAGTATGAGTTTTAAGCCGCCAGGTCCAGGACGCAAACTGCAGTCAACTATGTGAAAGTCTAGCAATGTAACCATTAGGCTATCTATTGGTTCTGATGTCGTTAAGACTTTTACACTGAATTCTCAGGACAACCCGGCAAAGTGGATACTGTGGCTCTATCTTGCAGTTACAGGACCTGCTATCATTTGAAGGTGCCCCCCGCCCCAAGAAAAAAAGAGAAATCATGTGTTCAGATTGGCTGTTATGGGATTGAGGGGAAATTTAATTCGGCTATGGTATTGAAAGGTGGTGTCTTCCCATGGTTGACTCCTGGTGCATTTATAGGAGAGGAAATGAGCCCAGGATAGAATTACAACACAGGTGTATGTGTTCCTACCCACCACCATGATGGAATTCAACTAGGAGACCCTCACCAGATTTGGCCCTGGATGTGGGGCTTCCAAATCATGAGTTAAATAAACCTCTGTGTTCTCATAAACGACCCACACTCAGGTATTCTGTTATTAGCAATGGCATGGGCTGGGACAGGAACTTAAGCAGAAAGAGGTCAATTGCCTTGCCCGTGTAGCACAACGATCCACAGGGAATAGAGCTGGGCTTCCAAGTCAGGCTGGTGCAACTGTTCCTGGATTCGACACTCTGCAGACTAGCACAAGCTGTCTTCCACCACACTGGCTCCACCCATGCCTCATCATAACAATCACCTGGGTGACTATTAAAAACACTTCTGGGCCAGCTCAGTAGCCTAGCAGTTAAGGAATCCCATATAACCAACCATGGTTCAGATCCCAGCCTCAGCAGTTAGAAAAAATGTCAGGCATCTGTGCGTGAGTGCCCAAATCATGATACGAAGGAGAAATAAAGAAGAGATCGTGACAGAACCGTGCTCCCTGGTGTGTGTGTGTGTGTGTGTGTGTGTGT